GAGGAGTGTGGAGGTTGAGTTAGTAGCAACATGTGTTCAAGGCCGGTTTGGGGATTGGGGATTTGGGGTTCAAGGGTGTTTGGAGTGGAGGATGTGAAATGATCCTCTTGTTAGAGATTAGTAATGTATTTTGAGGTTGCTACATATTTGTAAAACACTTCCCTCGGTGCACCTAATGAACTCGGCTGACCAATTTAACAAAGCTGAAGTTCTTGGTGTGGTTTGATTCCTTGTACTTGGGAATGTTTTAGGTTATTTTATGCCTGTGATTGCTGTTTATCTTGTTTGATAACACCTTTCACACTCCACAATAATAGAATGATTTGGACTGGCATGTTTGACTAAATGCTTTGATGTAGATGAAGAGATTGGTTGTGAGTTGAATGTGTAATGTGTTCCATGAACACTTGATATCTGTTTTTTGTTGCTTTAATCTCACAAGCAAGAAAATCATATCTTCCATTTGTATGGTATTTTAATTAGTTCATGATTTAACATAGAAACATTAATCTTTGTCATAGTGATTTAATAAAAAATAGAGGGGAGATGGGGTTTCTAATTTTGTGTGATATATCTAGGCTTCCCTACAAAGTTGAACCCACACTAAAACTCTAAGGTTGTCATGCAACTCATGAATATGGGTAACATAACACTTGGAAGAGTCCAAAAGAATCAAAGAAAAAGCGAAGACATCAGACCATCAGGTTGGTGAGCTCACAAGGGAGTAAATGATGGATACTATCAAATGGGATCTTACTAGTTGAGTTATTAATAACACTACTATAGGCATACTCAGCAGTATGCATTACTTTATAACAATCACATATTATCCTCTTAGCAAGACAAGACAACCAATTAGATCACCTTGACCACACAGTTAACAACCGTAGTTTGAGTAGCAATAATTTGTTACCAAACAAAAGAGAATTTCATCTAGGTGCAACACAACTTCCCTTGGATTTCCAGAAATAATTCATAAACTTCATCCTTCTTACATGATAGAATAAGGCAATCTGTGAAGACACCCAATCTCTTTTAGGGGAAACTTTCAATATATGACGTTGATGAAACATAACACAAACATGAACCATGCATGGAACAAAAAACAGACCCGAACACGGACCCTGGATGCAAAACAAACCTAGGGCTACTTTGTGCCTGTTCTATAAGCTTTAGGAGCAACCCACCAATAGCTAAAAAACTAGAAGAGCTTAAAATCCACCATGGTCACTAGTGCACAAACTTGTTTCTAGTGATGGATTTGCCCAGACACATAGATGGCAAAGAAAAGAAGGGAAAGCATGAAAAACAAAATGTAAAATGGCTAGAAAACCCGAAGAACAAAATCAAATTCCCATTTCCTACTTTCTTTGCATGCATGGGAAGATTTGCAGGGAATCGTATATATAATGTGTGTGAGATAATATTTTTATTAATTTAAATAATTCAAATTTTGGTACTTTATGAAATAATTTATTTTAATATTGCTATTTTATATACATTTTTTTATTTACTAAAAGTTTATAATAAATGTTTTATTTTAATATTATTATTATTATTATAAAATATGACCTTTTATTTATTCAGATTTCATGATTTTATTTTAATTAAAATTCATGTTAATTTAGTTTATATTTTCATCTAATTATTTTTAAATCATCTTTCAATTTTAATTCATACCCATTCATTATATTACCAAATTAATTTAATTTGTTATTTTATCTCATCAATCAAATTAATTAGAAACTTTTCACTGATTTCTCTTCTCTTTCCATCAATCCAAACAACATCACTTATACAAATGTCCAGACTTATAGAAGCCTTTGTTAGGTGTGGCCGGGTGCAAGGCATACCTCAGCTATCTTGAGCATGTTCAAGCCAATAGAAAATACTTTTTATTTAGACATAGGAATGGAGTGCTTGTCGCCCGAGTGTTAGTGTTCATGCTAAAGACTTACTACACAAGGAAGGGATGAGCAATCTTAGAAAATGTTGTTATCTGGCTGGGGAATCTCAAAACCTCTTTACTGGCTATACTTATCTGGCCTGGCGTAACCCTGTTCGTAAACAAACTTAGATATACAGCTGATGTAAAAACATGTAATGGTTTTATTGTTCCAAATCAAGAACATTTCCTGTCATTATTTTATTTCATCTTACAGGTGAATAAATGCTGTATATGACTGCAATATTTTGAACTTTATTCACTGAATAATGCTGTGCTATGTTTCTTTTTAAGGACATCATCTTACAGGTGAATAAATGCTGTATATGACTGCAATATTTTGAACTTTATTCACTGAATAATGCTGTGCTATGTTTCTTTTTAAGGACAACTCATTGATGATATTCTCAGTTATCAATATATCTATCTTTCTGCAGAATTTCCAACTTTCTAATCCATAATGTTATGTCTGTATCAGATCTGGCCCACGTTTTCTCTTCTGTTCAGAGGGACCTCAACTTCATTGATCACACGAGTGACCTTGGATGGAAAGAGTAATGAGAACTACTGATAATTTTAGCTTCTTCATTGTGATACTGCGTTATTCTACATTTTAAGCTCTGGGTCATATATTTTTGTATTTTTTGACCCATGCAGAAAAGACAGATTCCAGCCTATTGTAGTTGACCCAGGACTATATTTAGCTAGGAGAAGTCAAATTTTTCATGCTACACAGAAGCGGGATACACCTGATGCATTCAACCTTTTCACAGGCAAATCTATTCTTTCATACAATGTCTAAGAAACTCAATCTATGGACTTTGACAAATGAATGTTGAATTCTTTCCTTTCCTAGCAGGTTCCCCATGGGTCATCTTGAGCCGATCCTTCTTGGAGTTTTGCATCTTTGGTTGGGATAATTTACCTCGAACACTCCTGATGTATTTTACAAACGTCAAGTTATCCCAAGAAGGTTATTTTCACTCAGTCATTTGCAATGCACCGGAATTCAAGAACACAACAGTAAATGCTGACTTACGATATATGATCTGGGACAATCCTCCGAAGATGGAGCCGCTCTTCCTTAATGTATCTGTTTATGACCAGATGGCAGAAAGTGGTGCTGCTTTTGCTAGACAATTTGAAGTAGGTGACCCAGTTTTGGACATGATTGATAGAAAGATACTTAAGCGTGGGAGTAATCATGCTGTGCCAGGTGCATGGTGCTCAGGCCGGAGGAGCTGGTGGGTGGATCCATGCTCACAATGGGGTGAGGATGTCAATATTCTGAAGCCAGGTCCTCAGGCTAAGAAGCTCGAGGATTCTGTTTCGAGCCTTCTTGATGACTGGAGCTCACACACGAATCAATGTCTTACTGCCAATGAAGAGACACAAGACTAGAAATATCTTTGGAATGGTATGCATTATTGTGCACCTCGTTTCATTGACCAGTTGAAGCTGCTATTAATGGGGCACATTCTTTGATCACCAATGCAATTCAATTTTTAAGGAGGGGGTTGATGAGGCTCTCGTGGCAGTTATTGGGAGTCTGGTACAGAGTTGTGGCGGGGAAGGGAGTATGTTAGAGATTTGGGGTCTTGATATTTCCAGTGGATCCTCTGATGTCTTCATCCCATTTGATCGATGATGAGAGCTTGCAGCCCCTGCTTCCAATATTATCTTATTGTATGTACTGTATGCTTTTCACCCTCTTTGGGATTTTAGACTTTTAGAACAGAAATTTCATTCTTTATAGGATATGCTTGTCATTTTCCACGCTCTCACTCATTTCCCTAGCACCACTTGATATTTTGGATACATTTGCTTTGGACCACGGTTACGATCAAAGACATTTTTATGAATATGGAGGGAGAAACACGGACTCTGCTTACAACTCACCCCAAAATATCGAAAGTCCAGTAAACTTGCATTGAACTGTTGCTATTATGTTGAATCTTCATTTCTAGCTCTTGATCAAATTTCAAAATTGTGACATGTAAGATCGTACAGAAAGCCTACCCGTTTCCTCCATTTTTTGTCCATGTTCTTTGATTCCACATGTAAGGGAATGACTATTACACTCAAGTGTTTATTACACTCCCAAACCCAACTAAATAACTTACAGTGTTTTGATACCAGATGTTTTGACGTGCGTATATTTACGGGATCATTAGAAGTTAAGGAGATCCTACACCCGTAAGACTTCAATTTATGTGGAACCATGCAATATATTGTTGTCCAAGGCTTTTGATATGCGACTCTAAAAATTGATAGACTGATGAAACAGGTTGACACCTAAGGTCAACTGAAACATTTTGTGAGATCAATGCATGCTCACTGTTTGTCATTATTGTTTGAATTTGTGTACAGTGAAGCAAACAAAATTTGGAACTGTGGAATATGGATAATTTAAGACTAGTAGCTAGAGAAGAGTGTGTGTGTTTTTCATTGTTAACAGAAGCTCCATTTCATAAAGTTCATATCTGCAGTAAGAGAAGAACATTCAATTCTTGCCAAGTTCCCTTTCATGAAATATCAAATGCACCAGTATTTTTCTATCCAAAGAATTCACCTAAACTCAGTCGTTGTTGCAAGCAAGCTAACAAAAGAATGCGCGACCCCTTTGTGCCTTTGTTCATTATACCATGTAGTAAGTTCCTGAATCTATATCATTATGTAGTAATTGCATCATCTTCCGGTAATCCCTTAACTAAAAGTATACATTCTCTAAAACCATTCGGAAACTAACCTTATAGTTATAGACAACAAAATTGAATTTGGCTCTTATTCAAATATTACTAGTAACAAGCACAATGAACATGTAAATTAATTCACTGCTATATTGTGACAGAAGCACGTTCAATTCAATTCATGTATAAGTCCCATTTCATGCAGCACTAGTATACTTTTCTTCTCCAAATAAACTCACCAAGACCAATGTTGTGTCAGCTAGAAAACACGTAGTAAAAAAAAAAGAAAAAAAGAAAACATAACAAAGAACAATTCAAGACCGAATTATATAAAACTACAAGAACAAACACCACAGAACACACAGCTAATGAAAAACAGAGAAGTGGTAATGCCCTGCAGAATTTCCCTCACCGTGGCGGTTGTCATCATCAAACTCGGGAGAATGAGAAGACACTTCATGTTCATCGTAATCTTGTGCATCCGTAACCCAATACGTGTCGTGCTTTGCATGGTGATGTTGTTTCACATTGTGACGCGAAAAAACGTGTTGAACGCCATGGACCACGAGGCAGTCACCGCGAAACATGTCGGGAAAAACGACCTGCACACCATTGAGCAACAAAGTGTGAGTCTTGGACACGGTGACATTGAGAGAAAACCCTTTCTCGTAGGTCCCAATCAAGGTTCCGTCCCTGAGCTCTGCAAGTTCGCGCCAGACGATCTTGCAGGGGACGAGGTGGTGGCGAAGAAGCGCAGAGAGATGGGTGAGGTTGTGCGCGGCGTGACTCAGCGCCTTGTCAAGTGGGGCGAAGAGGGTGAGTTTACAGCGGTTGCAGGCGAAGGGAAGCTGGAGGTCGAGGAGGGAGGCGACGAGGGAGAAGCGGTGGGATCGGAGGAGGCGGGCAGCGCGGGAGAGGTGGTTGTGGGGAGAAGGGGCGCAGATGGTGGGAGGGTTTGGTTTTGGACGGGGGTGTGGGGGTGTGAGGTGGAAGCGTGGGTCGAAGAAGTTGGTGGTGGGGAAGATGGTGAGGTTGGGGTGATGGAAGACGCGGGAGGGGACGAGGGTGACGTTGTTGATGGAGATGGTGATGTTCGAAGGCGGCGTCGGTGGGGGCGAATATGATGAGGGAGTGGTGTGGTTGGAGGGTTTGGGAGGCTAGTTCGAGGTGCAGGGCCATGCATTGGAAGCCCGAGGAGGAGAGGAACTCCACGGCGTCAAGGAGGGTGGTGGAGGTGGTGGAGGCGGTGGAGGAGAAAGGGAGGAGAATGAGGAGGAGAAGAGAGAGTGAGGAAGGAGGTGGTGGGAGAAGCCATTGCTCCTTACCCAAGGAATTGTGAGCCAAGAAAGGAAAGGATGGCAGGGTTAGTTTTATTTTTGGCGGGAAATGTCGTTAGTTATGTAAGATATTGGGATTTAGTTAGCTTTTTTTTTTCATCAAACCTTTGGACTAAGTAGGGGGTGATACTCCCTCCACCACCACAACTTGCTTCCTCCACCATCCCATTTCTCTTTTACCCTTTTCTTTATTTTTTAATTCCTATTTTACCCTTATTAAAATTTTAGGGTTAATATTATTTAAAATCTCACTTACATTCATTCTCTTTATCATTCTTTCCTCTTTCTCTTTATTATTTTTCCCAGGTTGTCTCTTGCGTTCCACTATCTTTGGGTTGTCTTTCATGTTCCACTTCTTCTTCTCTTTTATAGAATTGTAACGTGAGAGTGTGGTGGACTTTGTGTTTAGTAAGATTGAAAGTGGGAAAAGCAATTCATCTTCAATCGTGACTGTGGTGGTACTTCAAAGTGCTGGTTCAAAGGCGTGAGAGGGCGTGAAGGTGCGTAATAAAACCCTAAAATATAAACAGTATAATCTTTAAACGAATGTGAGCATCCGTCAACGGATGTCAACATCCGTTTAAGGAAAATGTGGGAGGTGGAGGGAGAAAATATGGTGGTGGAGGGAGTAACAACCCTATGTAGGTGTAAGATTGGGTTAGTTTTGGTCACATGGCCCAACTCATGTTTTGTAGTTCGGTAATTCTTCCTGCACTTCCAAATTCTTTTTCTTGCACTTCCAAGTACAAGTACTGGATATACACCCCTAAGTAAATGAGTTTGATAATTCAGTAAATGAGATTGGTCAACTGCACCAACTTCGAACAACCTTCTTTCGATTTTATACACTCTGTATTCCCAAAATTCTTTGAAAGCTTTGTTTCTTCTTTGGTGTGTGGTCCATTCTACTTCCATGGCTTCCATTTTCATTTGGTGGTCCTTCTTCTTTGTTTCTTCTCTCTCGTGGTGAACCTTCTTTTTTGTTCCTTCTTTCTCGTGGTGGACCATTGTGTGGGAGGTGTTCTTCATTGATGGTTGGTCGTGCTTTGGTGGTTTATGGTGTTGAATTCACTTCGTTGAACAAGGTGTACTGTTTTTATATTTGGATTTTCAACGATTTTTGAATTTTATTGAAGGAAATCAAAATACCTTTCAACGAATTTCAAAATATCTTGGATCCTTCAATTTCGAACGAATTTTCGGATATTTTGATTTTAATTTTTAATTTTTAGTATTTATTTATAATTTTAATTATTTTGGTATTTTTATATGCGTGTATTTTTTTTAAGTTTTATTTTTCTTAATGCATATTAGATAGATTTTAATTATTTTATTTTGGTGTTTTATTATTTAGAATTTATTTAAAATTTGTTATATATTTTTTAATAAAGTTGTAGATTATAATGAATAATGTTAGATAATCATGAGTGAATATTTTGTGATTATATAAAATGGAAGAATATTCATATGATATAGATTCTCAACTAAATTCTAATTTCATATCAAAATTTTCTTCTTTTATATATGTAGTGGCAGAGGGAGATCTAACAAATAATTTTACCACAAATGAAATTTTTTTCTCTTGTAATGCTTTGATTGAATGGGTCATAAGGGTTGCATATCATTTAGGGTTTATCGTGATTAGTAAGATGTAAAAGAAGTGAAAAGTATAAGAAATACAAGCCTAATGTTCAACCTAGTATATACGACACTCGAAAATTTGAGTGTCCTTTTAAGTTAAGGGGCAAGTCATCTTCTAATGACGACGAATGAATATTGAAGGTCATTTATGGATATCACAATCACAATTTGGCAGAAAGTTTAGTGGGTCACCCTTTTGGTGGGAGGTTAAATGAAGTTTAGTGGGTCAAGTTGACTTTATCCAAAGGTTGTTGTACATGAACAAAGGGAAAGCACAATAATCAAGACCAAAAGCTTAGTCTAACGAAAATTTTTCCAAAAAGCCTATAAATGCAAGAGCTTTCAAATAAGAAAAAAAGAGAGGATAGCAAGAGAAAAACTTACAACGAAATATTCATCTTGAGAAGTGTTCAAAAAGAAAAGAAAGAGCCCAAGAAAAAGAATACATCTGAGCAGAAAAAGAGAAGAAGAGAAAAGAGAAGAAAAGAAATACTCTCGAACTTCATTATTATATCGCTTACTGTTTGTAAGAAAGAGAGAAAGAGAAAAGATAGAAACATCTGCGAGTGTTTAGACTTAATTGTATTATAATTACATCCTCTCTATGAGAATAATAGTTTGAACGACTCGTTGATTGCAATTCTGAAGAGAATTAAAATACTTGTTAAACTCAGTTGAGTTAAAGGAAATCTAGGTAAGGTTGTTTAGTACCAGAAGTGGTGTGAATACTCATCCAGTCTAGGGTAATAGGAGATTATTCGTTGACTGAGGATACCAGGAGTGGTGAGAATACTCATACAGTTTAGGGTAATAAGAGGTTATTGACTGAGAAGACCAGAAGTGGTGCAAATACTCAGTGTAATCTTGTGAAGATTATAGTGGAACCCTCTACGAAGGAGGCTGGACGTAGCTCAGTTGGAGTGAACCAGTATAAAATATCTGTGCAATTACTTCCTCTCTTGCCGAAACGCTTCTCTAACAAAACCTGCAATTGAGCTTTTATTTCTAAACACACGAACTTTCTAAGCTAAATGATTACTATTAAACAAAGTAAGTCCTATAAACCCTATAGTGTACATTATGAATAGTACAAAAAAAGTATTTCTTGAAACAATCGTTTATTAGGTAGAGCGTCTAAACATTTAAAAGAAAATCATAAAGCTTTACAACGTGCTATATTAGAAGGGTTTCGAAAAGAATTTTTTTCATTAACACTATTCAACCCCCACTCCCCTTCTAGTGTTTTTCAAGTACTTCAGCCATGACATTGTTTGTCATGTTCCTTAGAGTCACCATAGGGTTTTGTTGGTTGTTGAATACTCGGTCTTACAGTGTGCATCAAAATGTTTCGAGGTATAGGATCAAGGTCAATGGTCCAATGCCTAGTAGATTGCTAAATGGTCAAAAGTAGTCTTCAACTCCAAGTCCTCTTGTAGTCGTTCGTCCAGACCGTTCGAAGGGTACCTGCAGAAGGCACTCCAATGTCAAAGTTAACTCAACGTTTGACAGTTCAAATATTAATGGCACAGTAAATGCATAACACATACCTTCTTACCTCAAACCTATATATATAGATTTTGAAGTGGTATTTTGACCGACCCAATTGTTAGTAATCACACTTTACCTTTAAGTTGTTCAGCATTAAAGTTAATCACCTGAAACATTAACCGATCGATCCAACTTCTCTATCATCTAGTCCTGATGAAAGTTTGTTTGTGTGTTTCAACAATAATTAACCGCCTGATCTATAACTGACCGGATGGTTATACGATATAGTACCTACTTGCTCATTTTGAACACCTAGATTCATGGATTTGAAATATATAATTATGCCTCTTTAACCAAATCCTTAACAAATACTTTTCCAACATAGACTTGGAGAGCAAACGAAGACTTGACTTTAGAATACTACTTCATATTCTTCCACGTAGACCAAAAGACACAGTCTTCAACTTGACTATATAAAAAAGAAGGATGAAATTTTATTAATATAACTTATGCTAAATTATACTAAATTTTATACAATTTGATTTTTTGGCTTAGTTAAAATTTAGATATTTTTAACTATGTACTTATTAGAAAATTTTGTTATATTAAGTGCTTAAAATATTTATTTTATTTAACTATCCTTTTCTTGCAATTAGGTGAATGACGAGTTAGAAAGAAAATTAAAAAGTGAAAAATATGAGTTAAAATAATTAAATTAAAATAAGAAATGTTTTATTTCAATATAATAATTCTAAAACGTAAATATTTTATTTTGCATTAATAAGTCACATGTACAATTATCTCTTATATGAAAATAGTAATATCCTTTTGTGAAAATTGTTATTAACTATTGTAATTCTTTTTCTGTTTCATTAAAAAAATATGAAAAAGAAGTGAAGCAGTTCTACTTATGGTTGAAAAAAGGGCATCTATTTTATATATATAAATATATATTACTTTTGGCTTTGGAAATTTGGAAGCTATTGTAAATAATTGAATTTCGTCCGATTCCACGACCCCAGTCTTTAAATATAATAAACTATTTACTGAAATTATTTAACTCAGGAACTAGAGATGTGTACACAAGTAAAATCTTTGCAAAACTAATCGTTCTTCATTGACTTGGAAAATTCGAAGTTATAGATGCAACTCATAATTGATCAATCATTTAACTAACAAATGATTAAAATTTTAGAATATTTATTCGTACTAAGTAAAATATTAACCTGAGCTTTCAAATGACAAAGAGGGTTTATTTTAAATGTACAACCTTGTATAAATTATTCGCATTATTGTCAACCACCAAAAATTATTTACTTTTCTTTTAATTAATTAAGAATGACATTTTGTCAACATCTATCACGTTACAAAGTCAAGTCATGCTTTTAAATTTTAATAATTTCGATCAAACGACAAGTCACCATCCTTAATTCAGGCTTTGTTTTGTACGGGTGAAAGATACAATAATAAACCAATATGAAATAGATATTTTCACACAAATATTTTTATGCATTAAAATATTGTTAAAAAGTCTATATTAACTTATTATTGTTCTAAGAAAATGAAAAGAAACTTGGTTTAAAATAATAAAAAATTATAGGTAACACGTGTTTGTATAGAAGATTTTATAATTTTTAAAACATTTAAATATATTAAATTTGAATTGATTTTATTTCAAACTATTTTATTTTTCAAATTAGATAAAAAGAAATTTAAATTTAGTAAATTTTAATATTAAAGTTCAATTACCATTAAATTCGAAAAATTATTTAAATAGTAAATGGTTGTTAAAATTAAGAAAATATCAATATCTATAATCTTTTGGAATAGACGGGCTAGTTAAGACTAAAAGGTCGAGATGGGTTGACCTAGGTCGAACGTTAAGACAGATCGGTCTAAGTCAAAGATCGA